TGCTTTCACCCGCGTCCCGCTATCGCTTTCTCCCCGCATCCCGCTTTCCCATGCTCCTCGCATTCCCATGCTCCCTGCATTCCTTTCTCCCCGCATCCCGCTTTCCCATGCTCTCCGCATTCCCATGCTCCCCGCATTCCCTTGCTCCCCGCATTCCTTTGCTCCCCGCATTCCCATGCTCCCCGCATTCCCTTGCTCCCCGCATTCCCTTGTTCCTCGCATCCCGCTTCCCATGCTCGCCGCTTTCCCATGCTCCCCGCATTCCCTTGCTCCCTGCATTCCTTTGCTCCCCGCATCCCGCTTTCCCATGCTCCCCGCATATCCCATGCTCACTGCTTTCCCATGCTCCCGCTTTCCCATGCTCCCCGCATTCCCAGGCTCCCCGCTTTCCCATGCTCCCCGCATTCCCTTGCGTCCCGCATCTCGCTTGCCCTCGCTAATCTGCCGCTGCCTCTCTCCCCCGTTTCTCGCCACCCGCTTCCCCTAGCTTCCCGCATGCTGCTTTCCTCCGCTTCCTGTTTCTGCCATTCCCCCCTTTCCGCATCCCGCTTTCCCCTGCTAGCGATTAGCGCTTCCCTCTTCACCTCGCGGACCGCTTCCTGCTTTCCCTCGCATGTCGTTTCCCACTTTCCCACGTTGTAACGTGTTACCCTCTTCTTCGCGTGCCGCAATCCCCTGCCTTCTCATTGAATGAATGTCGCATGAACCTCTATAATTGGGTTACAGAGCTTCATGGGACAGCGCGAGAGGTTATAAGGTGAGTTGTAAAAGTGTAGATATACTGTACATAGGTTATCCCAATTGTGCATGGTATACAGTGATGGGCGAGTTCGGGGCGGAATGACGGCAACGTGAAAGGGGGGGGCAGCTGGCGAACAGGCCCGGACACTTCAGCAGAGGGGAGAGACAGGCTGGAAGGGGACATGCAGCAGGTCAGGAAGGGATATTCGGCAGAAATCATGGGGCTGCCACTGGAGGAGAAAACCCCGCAATGGCGTGCGGCGGATTCAGCTGGGAGGGAAGGGTTGGGCACAGGAGAGTGTCCGCTAGGAAGATTAGCACAAATCAGGAAGCATTCTCAGTCGATAGCTACTCTGTTTGTTCTCTCATCATAGTGGGAAGGCCTGTATGCTTGTTTCCTAGTGAATTCTTTCCTGAGCATATGCTAGATCCCTAAGGAGAGGCCAGACACAGGTGGCGGGAGTGGGAAGCTTGGCTGTCCAACCCGTGGCTTATAACAAATAGAGTCCTGATGGCGGGCATGTCGCTTCGTAGCGGCAAACAGCTGCCCGTGGAAGAGAACTCGTCACTAGGAAGGGATGTGCCCCAAGCTGACGAGGGAGGCGAGGTGCCGAAATCGCCGACGGCAGATCGTGCGGGATCGCGCGCGGAAGATGGCGGAAAGCCGGGTGAACCGCGGACAGAGCATCAAGAGGAGCAGCGCGACTCTAGCGGGTTCGCGATGTGAGCGGATCGCCAGGCTGAAGGAGATTCAGCGTCGGCGGGAAAGGGAATCGGAATCGCGCTCTCCAGAGGAGCGGCAGGATCTGGGGGCGGCGCTGCCGCCACAGACTTTGGAGGAAGCGAGGGACGCAGAGCAGACGCGGCGGCGACGAGCCAATTTGTATCGGGTGGTCCGTCTCGCAGATCAGCCTGGGAGGAGGGAGCGCGATATAGATACACCAGCCTGCCGGAGGTGGAGGTACCCGCCCGCTTCACAGGAGACCAGGAATCGGGACCAAGGCTGAGGACATACGCCATGCATGTCCGTAATGAGAAGTATTGCTGGGAGCAGGACGGTCTGGACCTCAGGCACTTCTTCCGTTCCCTGGGCAACACGCTGGCTGGGGACGCCGAAGCCTTCTTCCTGGAAGTGCGTGACCTGCTGCTGTAGGAAGAAGAACGAGATGTGCTGGGAAGGGTGCGGCGTGATGCGGAGGGGCAAGTTGTGAAGCTGCTGGATCGCCGAGCGGTTCCTGAGCGAGCTGCAGATGCACTTCCCGATGCAGACGCCAGCACGGTTGCGCAAATTCGATCAGCTGCGAAGGGCCCCGTGAGAATCGCTTCTCGCCTACTACCGTCGGGTGGATCAGCTAGCAGAAGACATCAGCTGCAACGAGCCATGGATAGTGGTGGCGAAGTTCCTGGAAGGACTCTCAAGCGAGCTAGTTCGGACGGTGCGGGACCACACGTACAACCTGGGTCCGAATGTGACGCTAAGGCAGGCGTATGAGATAGCGTGGCGCAACGAGCAGTCGCTGAGCCTGTATGATTTGGGGAAGAAGCCTGACCGAGCAGGAGTTCGAGAGCGCGACAGGCGCGGAATAAGCTGGGGAGGAGCACTGCTGGCAGGTAGCGAAGGGGAGGAGGAAGGCAAGGGAGAGAGCCGAGGGAACCGAGGACGACCGCAGCGAACGCGGAGTGCAACGCCTCCCCCCGGGGAAGAGCCGGTGTGTTACAAATGCTGAGAGCCGGGGCACTTCAAGCGCGACTGCCCTAAGCAGCAAACATGCTCCTTCTGCCAGTGGAAGGGACACGAGGTGGAAAGCTGTTACACCAAGCAGAGGGAGGAGAAGAACAAGGGAGGCAGGAGGGGACGTATTGAAGCCCTAGAGGAGGAATTGAAGAGGCTGAAGGCGGAAGAGGAAGGCGACGAGGAAGACGAGGATCGCTCAGCCATACTGGCGAAGGCATCGCCTGAGGAGGACAAGGGTGAGCTCTTCTTCATGGCGGCGGGAACGGAGCGAGATAGAGAAGATTTGGGGCTGCAAAATGGAGGAGTGGATGGCAGGCAGGGATCGCCAGCTCCTCGACGTGGGCCAAGAGCAGGGCCGGCGCAGCCAGTGGAGCAGGCAGCGGCAGCGGCAGCTGAGGCTGTGGCTCAAGCAGGGGGAAGACACGGCCCGCACCATCACCCTTTTGAATGGCTGGCGGCTCGACCCTGCATGGTGGAGGCAAGGGAAGGAGCAGTAGCAGTGGAAGGCAAGTATCAGGGAACGACGATAATAGACACAGGGGCATCCCAGGTGCTGGTGGGGAGGCGACTGGCCGAGCGGTTGGGGCTACACAAGGAGGAGAATGTGACCCCAGAGGGAGTGCGCATTCAAACGGCAGAAGGAGGGGCAGGGAAGTGGCTGCCCAGGACTCTGAGGCCACTGGAAGTGGTGCTGTCACCAGGGTCTGAGGATGAAGCAAGAATCCGAGTACACTGCTTGGTGTCGGACTCCGATGACTATGATCTCTTGCTGGGTATGGAGCTCCTATACAAGGTTGGAGCCGTGGTGGATACCTGGGCTGAGAAAGTATCCTATCAGCCCCGCTACTGGGACCATGAGCTACGAAGGGAAGAGAGCACCACGGCCACCCTACCAGCGCGCTTCCTGTGAAGGAGACCGGAGTACAGGGAGCCACCGAGGGCGAAGGTGCCAGAGTGGAGGTTTGAGGATGCAGGGGTGTATCTAGAGCGAGCGAGCGAACGCAGGCGGTGGGAGGAAGCTGCCGGTCCGGGGAAAGCAGAATTGCAAGAGGCTCGAGGACTGGCGGAGCCAACCTACGACTTCAAGACCTTTAACCGGCCCTTGACCCTGCTGGAACTCTTTGGGGGCATCGGCCCAGGACTAGCAGCATGCGTCCGGACTGGGCAGACCATAAAAAAATGGGTATACGTGGAGAAAAATGCTGAGGTCAGAGAAATGGCCTTCCACCATGCAAGGCTGCTAAGTCAGCAATTCCCGGACAAGCTGCCACCGGCGGTGATAGCGGAGGCAGAAGCATAGGCCCAACGAGTAGGCGATGTCAGCAAGACCACAGAGGCGGTGGTGACGGGCTGGGGGCAAGTAGACTTGCTAGTGGCCGGGTGGGAGTGCCAAGGCTTATCCAGGGCAGGGAAGGGCAAGGGATTAGCCGATCCCCGAACTGGACTCTTTCTGAGCTGATAAGGGTGATGAAGCTGATCAAGCGGAGGCAAGGACCAGTATCATACATAATAGAGAACTTGGACGTACAGTAGCAGATGACCAGAGGAGTCTGGTGCGAGAGGCACACCGAGCTGTGACGGGAGAACTAGGGCATGGGTTGGCGTGGGATGCGGCCCAGATGGGATCCAGGACGCATCGGGGTGCGTTGCTACTGGCAGAACCGGATACCCGAGCCCGTGCTACGTGACCAGCTCAGCAGGATGCAGCGTCCCTTGCCGCGGCTGGTGCAGGACATCCTGGAACCGGGAAGGATACCAGCACCAGTTACCACCCCCGACATAAAAACCCAATTCCCTTGCAGCCAAGTGGGGGCACCCCGACAGGCCTGGCCTACCTTGGTGGCGACCCCAGGTAGTTATGCATTCTGTATGCGTGGCGACGAGCCTGGACCGGGAATGGTTCAAGTGTTGGAGACGGGGCAGTGGTTGGAGCCCTTAGCTATAGAAAGCGAAATGGCCTTGGGATACATGAGGAATGCTATGGCAGCAGAAGGCATTTCGGAGGAAGCTCGCAGGGAAGCGTTGGGGGGAGTGATAGACCAACATGCGTTGGTCTGGCTCTTGTACAGAGCACAGAAGCGACAGGAGGTCATGAGGATGCAGCTGCTGATGCACTGGAGGTGGAGGGATATAGAAGAGATGCTGGAGACGGATCCAGAGCAGGCAATGGAGGTGGCTGAGGTGTGGCAGCGGATGAAGGCGGAGGCATGGATGGAGAGCCAGCAGGCCGAAAATCGGTTGAACAGTATAGGCATCGCTCTCTTGGCCCGAGCAATGCAGGCGGCCGAGGGAGAGGAGAAGGGGATGGAGGAGACAGGCGGACAAGAAAAGCCCTCGCTGTCGGCAGAGACGGCACCCGAATGGGATATAGGAGACAGGTTAGAGGAAGAGCAGCAGGAAGAGCTGAAGACAGTGCTGAGGAATGCAAAGGGAGCTTTCGCCTATTCTCTGGAGGAGTTGGGCAAGTGCAATAAGGTGGAGCTAGCAATAGAGCTGCAGACAGCAGAGCCAGTATACCAAAGGAGAAGGCGAATGAGCCCAGGCGATAGAGACATAGCCGAAGCCAAGTGCGCCGAACTGCTGGCTGCCGGCCTCATACGGGAATTGACATCAGACTATGCAGCGGCTACGGTGGTGGCAGCGAGGAAGGACTTGACGGGGGAGACACTAGCACGGAGGATGTGTGGCGATTACAGAGGGCTGAATCGCGTAACGAAGAGCGACAGATACCCCATGCCCATGGCTGAAGAGATATTCGACAAGCTGGCTGAAGGGAAGGTGTACTCGACGCTGGACCTAAGGCAGGGATTCAATCAGATCCCGATCAAGGAGGAGGAAAAGCAGAAGACCGCCTTCCATGGCCCTGACCGTCTGTACGAGTGGAACTACATGCCATTCGGGCTCAAGAACGCGTCGGCAAAGTTTCAGCGAGTGATGAACCTAGTACTTCGAGGGATTCCGCAGGCAATCTACTATATAGACGATGTGGTGGTCTTCAGCAAGGATGGGAAGCAGCATGTGGCCGACGTGGCGGCCACCCTGGCTGCCATTCAGGCAGCAGGCCTTACTTGTCATCCAAGAAGTGCCATTTCGGGGTAAAGATTGTAGCGTATCTGGGGTTTCAAGTGGGAGAGGGTGGATTGTCAGTTCAGCAGGCTAAGGTAGAGGTGGTAGATAGACTGAAGCCGCCTACCGACAGGAGCACTCTTAGAGCGCAGCTGGGATTCTTGAGCTACTACCGGAAGTTCGTTCCGAACTTCAGCAAGACAGCAAGGGCTTTGAACCGACTCCTGTGAGAGGACGAGCCATGGAAGTGGGGAGAAGAGTAAGAAGGCGCGTGGAGGACGTTAAAGGAGGCAGTGAAGTCGGTGCCCATGCTGAAATTGCCCAACCCAGAGAAGCCATTCACGCTGTACACTGACTGAAGTAGCAGTGGGATGGGGGCTGTCCTGTGCCAGGAGGAGGGAGGGCTGGAGAGAGTAGTGGCGTACGCCAGCCGGTCCTGCAGTCCAGCGGAAGGAAACTACAGCTCCTACGAGGGAGAGGGGCTGGCAGCGGTGTGGGCTGTGGAGCTCTTCAGGCCGTACCTGCAAGGAAGGAGATTCACGCTGGTCACCGATCACCAACCTTTGCTGTGGCTAATGACGAACCAGACGCTGAAGGGGCGGAATGCGAGATGGGCTATGAGGCTGCAGGAGTTTGAGTTTGACGTCAAGCATAGGCCGGGGAAAACCCTCCAGCAAGTGGATGGGCTATCCAGGCAAGGCCCAGGGGAACCGCCGTCAACCGCCAGCAGCGCAGAGACAGGACTCACCTGCCTGGTTGTGGCCGCCGAAAGGGAGGGCTGGAGTAGGCGGACAGAGAGGGAGAAGGGCTGTCGAGAAGTATGGGAGGACCTGCCAATGCTGCACAGGGTGCAAGGAAGGGGGCCCGAGGGAGAAGAGGTGCCCGAAAGGGTCCGAGCAAGAGGGGTACACTATAGATGGCAAGAAGATCAGCTGCAATTGGTGACAGAGGATGGCTGGAGGATAGTCCCCAAGCCAGAAGAACGCGAGGCTCTGATTCTGAAAGTACACACGCGCCTAGGACACTACACTACAGAAAGGACGATGCAGCTGCTGCAGACCATGTATTGGTGGGCGGAAATGCGGAAGGAGGTGAAGGAGGTCGTGGAGAACTGCAAACCATGCAGACGGAGCAAGGCCAGATTGGAGAAGACGAAGTCGGAGCTGCAGTCCTTGCCCATTGGGGCTATTGGTTTCCGATGGTCACTGGACATCGTTGGGGAGCTGCCCCTGTCCCGAAGAGGCAAGCATTACATATTAGACATGATAGAGCATACGAGCAAGTGGATTGAGGTGGCTGCGCTGACTCGGAAGACGGCGGCAGGGGTAGCTGAGGCCTTCGTCCAGAAGGTCTTGACTAGGTTGGGAGCATGTGGGGAAGTACTGACAGACCAGGGAAGCGAATTCGCCTGGGAATTCGATGCACTCCTGCATGAGGTGGGCATCACGCATAGGCGGACGTCGCGTTATCACCCCCAGGCAGATGGCTTAACAGAGCGAATGGTGCAGACGTTAAAGCAAGGACTCGGGAAGTACTGTGAGGAGGAGGAGCGGAGGGAGTGGGACCGTTACCTGCCGTGGGTAGTGGCTGGCTATCGCTTCAGCAAACAGCAGGCACTCCGAGACTACTCTCCATACTACCTGCTCTTCAGGAAGGAACCAGTGCTTCCTGTGGATGCTCCACGAGTGATGCTCGAAGCAGTGGACACGGAAGACCCGCGTAAGTGGGCAGCGGTGGCAGCAGTAAGAGCAAGTTACCTAAGGAGCGCCCTGCCCGCTGCACTCGATAACCTGGAGGTCGCACAATTGCGGGATGCGAGACGGTACAGACAGCGCAAGCAGGGGGAGAGTAGCCGGCGCTCAGAGGACAGCACAGTGCAGATCGGGGACGAGGTGTATCTGCGGGAACCAAGACGGAACACATTGGAATGCGGGCTGAGCGGGCAGCGCTGGATGGTGCGGGGTAAGAAGGAATCAGGCGTCCTGCTGCTGCAGAACTGTTGTGTGATGTCATCATATGTTATCACATTCTGTCTGCCTCCCATCCCTTGTTTCAATTCGCACGTATGGTTTGACTGTGTGTGAAAGAATTTGTGTGGTGTGTGTTCTGGAGTTTGGGAATGTGTTTTGTGTTATTCTGTCTGAGCAGGTATTTGTGATGATAGATCTTGAGAAGATCTTTCCGACGCAACAAGAATCGCGTCAATCGGAGCAAGAACGCGAAAGCTATGAAGATTCAAAGTTCATGAGCTTGCGTTACAATTGCGGCGGTTACAAAGTGAAGTTGTGGGGTGACTTTATATGGAGTTGGGACCTTTGGGGTTGGGGAAATTCGTCACTCTACTGTAACAGCTGCAAATTGGTTGGGAACAACCAAGCTAGGTTGGCAAGGGTGGCCAACTTGGATGGATTGGTTGGGAAGGGACAAATGTCAAAGTTGGGGTTCCTATAGGGAGGGAATCTTTGTGCTTATGGGGTTTCCTTGGTTGGGGACTCTCTTGGGACCTTCCCTCTCATCCCTCTCTTCTATCCCAACCTTTCTCTTGCTCCTTCTAATTCCTTGTGAGATTCTTGAACTTTGATTGAACTCTTGAGATTGAGTTAAGTTCTCCTCCTACAGCTTACCCCCTAGTGCGTCGAAAGCCATAGCGTCGCGAATACTTCATCAATCAACGTGATTCAAATTGGGAACGGTAGCTGAGATCAAGAGCTACAACATATCCAAGTTTCGCGACATTCCAACGGCTAGTGTTTTGTCGACGTCGTTTCTTGTGAAGACGACTTTTCTGTCCAGAATTTCGGATTTATATTTTGAGTAATTCTAGCTCCTAAGTTCACCTAGACTCTGTCCTTAATCCTAACAAGAACTGCCAAGGCCGGATGGCGGAAGATCATGTCACTAATGTCGCCAGGGCTGGGCGTTCACGGCCGGGTGGCGGGGACGCTAGCCGGGCCGTGAGGGGGCAAGGGCCAGGGAAGTCAGAGGTCATCACGTACAAGCGAAGGATAGGGAAACCAGCTAACGAGTTGAGCTAGAGGACCAGGGGGAGAGCCGCCGGAGAACAGGGAAGGTGTGCGACAGCTGTCGCATGAACCTCTATAATTGGTTTACAGAGCTTCATGGGACACCGCGAGAGGTTATAAGGTGAGTTGTAAAAGTGTAGATATACTGTACATAGGTTATCCCAATTGTGCATGGTATACAGTGATGGGCGAGTTCGGGGCGGAATGACGGCAACGCGAGGGGGGGGGGGCAGCTGGCGAACAGGCCCGGACACTTCAGCAGAGGGGAGAGACAGGCTGGAAGGGGACATGCAGCAGGTCAGGAAGGGATATTCGGCAGAAATCATGGGGCTGCCACTGGAGGAGAAAACCCCGCAATGGCGTGCGGCGGATTCAGCTGGGAGGGAAGGGTTGGGCACAGGAGAGTGTCCGTTAGGAAGAGTAGCACAAATCAGGAAGCATTCTCAGTCGATAGCTACTCTGTTTGTTCTCTCATCATAGTGGAAGGCCTGTATGCTTGTTTCCTAGTGAATTCTTTCCTGAGCAAATGCTAGATCCCTAAGGAGAGGCCAGACAGAGGTGGCGGGAGTGGGAAGCTTGGCTTATTTAGAGCCAGGGAAGTCAGAGGTCATCATGTACAAGCCAAGGATAGGGAAACCAGCTAACGAGTTGAGCTAGAGGCCCAGAGGGAGAGCCGCCGGAGAACAGGGAAGGTGTGCGACGTGAAAAGAGATAATGGTTTGAGGCGCAGCAGTAGGGAAAAAAGCGAGGCCGCGGGGATGGGGAAGACGACGGATAGTAGCGAGGGGGAGAGGTGAGAGGGGAGGGAGAGGGGCACGAGAGCATTGGGAAGGCGTGAGAGCAGGGAGGGAGTGAGGCATGAGAGCAGAGAGGGAGTGAGGCATGAGAGCAAGGAGGGAGTGAGGCACGAGAGCAGGGAGGGAGTGAGGTACGAGAGCCACGGAGGGAGTGAGAGGTTAGAGAAGGGAAGGGAAAGAGGGGTACGAGCAGGGGACTGGGGAAAGGGAGAGTGCAGGCTGGAGGAGATGGGGAGGGGAAGAGGTGCGAGGGCACGAGAGGGGGAGAGGGTGTTAGGGCAGGGGAGGGGGAGAGGCGTGAGCGCAGGGAATTAGGGAAAGATGGAGTGCAGTGCATGGTAGGGGGGTAGGGGTGAGAGCAGAGGAGCGGAAGAGGCATGAGGGCGTGAGAGGCGGGGATAGTTGGAGGTGATGGGGAGGGGGAGAGGCATGAGGAGAGGGGAGGCAGATAGGCATGAGGGCAGGGGAGAGGGAGATGCATGAGGGTTGTCGAACTGTTTTCGGTTCAGGTATTTTACTGTTGTTGTACTATACTGCGACTGCAAATCCAAGTATCTGTAAGCCAGTTTCTGTAAAATGCAGACGTTCTCCGTTTGCACCTGCGAAATTTTATTCTGACCCTTCTTCCCCCCCAATTTCGTCAGGTGTAACATGGACTGCTTCGTCGGAGATGGTTGGCATCGGCTACTGTTGACGATCACGTTCGTAACCGAGGTGGACTTCCCGAACGACATCCGGGTCAACATCAGAAAGTGGAATAAATTCCGGGATGCCAGTCGACGTGACAGGTTTGGGAATGTCTGTTGCGGCAACTTCAGAGGCTTCAGAAACTGCCTCGTCCTCTACATCAGCTTTGGCTTCGTCGATTGCAAATGCACGTGAGCTTTCGAACAGCCTGGCGGGGTTGGCAGCTGCTGCCTGGTGGGCACGAAAAACTGGCAAGGTGAGTCGCTCATAGAAGAGACAATCACGTGAAGAGACGATTTGGTTTGAACGAAGATCCAAAATCTTCCATGCGTGATACTGTTTTTCGATGCCGAGGTGTACCCCCCATTTTGCCCGTTCTGAAAATTTGCCGAGTGCTGCAGTTGGAGGACGAAACTGCACGACACACCCAAAAACTCGTAAAAGTTTGGTACTTCTGACTGTTCGTGTCCACTGCAGGTGAGGAGAAGAAATCTCGGGCAATGACGTGGAAGACAGCAGGTTGTGTAACAGCATGGCGTGGTCCATCGCATAAGGCCAAAAGCGAGGAGGAAGGGCTGCCTGCGTTAGCAGAGCACGCATCTTCTCCTGCAGAGTTCGATTCATCCGTTCTCCTACCCCCATCTGTTGGTGTGCATGTGGCAGTGACTACTTCCATTTAATGCCAAGGGTCTGGAGGTAGTCTGTAAAAGCGTTGCTCGTGTACTCCCCTGCACCATCACTCTGGAATTCTTGCAGCTTTCAGCGACAGCGAGCCATGCGACGAAGACTGAATGGGCAAGATATCGAGCAGGAAGGTTGGCTGTCCAGACATAGCGAGTAGATGCTTCGATGAAGGTAATTACGTACTGCTCTTCTTTAGGTCCTGCTTCAGGTATCGCTGTAGACTTTCTGCATCAGTTTGTAATGAGTGGAGCCAGGAAAATGACTCGGAAATGGATCATGGGTAAGATTGGCAACCGGACACGTGGTGCAAACCGTTGGGCGAGACTGCAGTTTCATCTCCGTGCCGTCAGGTAAGAGAAGGCTGTTTTTATCAAGAACCGCTGCTCGGATTGAATGATTTAAAATCCCTTGCGATGGATGTCCTAACCGTTGGTGCCAAATTTCTTCTGTGGCTTTGTGTCCTAATGATCGCAGATAAGAATCGGAGTTAGTATAAAATGAAGAAATGATGAAAGGAGAAAGAGCTGGAGACATGTCAATCTCCCCTTCGACAAAACGGGTAAGCGATAACTGAATATTTGAAGGTTCTGCTGCAGTTGCGATTGCAATATCTGATACTGCTTCTGTTGATGTGTGGGCAGATGGTCCTGCGATAGCTACTGGGAGACTCGGCTGCTCGGCGACTTCTGATTTCGCGGCTTCCTCGATGACTTCGGGTTCATCAGCTGCAAGTCCACTGATTTCTCCCCAAAGTGGAGCTGGAGTTCCTTGGAAGGCCGCGCGAGTGTTATAAAACGTTCGCCAAGCGTTGGCGCCTTCATCGGCTATATTGAACTCCCAAGTATCGAATGCGGTAAGAACGGCAACTGCAGTTCGAGGAGCCGTTGGTACAGTAATTGCCCGAAAATCAATATCCACGTGTTGATAATCTGTTTTGTCAGGATGATCCTACGGACCAAGAGCAAGGACGCGTTCAGAATCACCAGAGGTGCCCTGTGCCGTGAACTGAAGAACGGATACTCCATGTTGAGTAGCAGCGCGACCGAGGTAAGTGTTTGTTAAACTGTGCCATAACTCCTGATCCATTGTATCACAGTTCCCTTGTGTGCGAATTTTGTGTTCCAGGAGCTGAGCTGTGGAGAGAAGATTGAAACCAAGGCCGGCGAAGACATCCAAAAACCCCTTTCCCTGATGTTACAGATGGAAAAACCGGAGGACGATGCTGTGACGGCGGTGTATTCTGCGGTGGTTTCGGCATCTGCTTCGTCTGGGACGTCGGCTGCTGCGGTGGCTGATGTGACTTCGGTAACTGCTGCGAAGGATTTTATGGTTGTGAAGTGCTGCAACGGTTTTGATGTTGACTGCGACAAGTTTGGTAAGTGTGTCGTGGTTTCTTGCAGAAATGACAGAATGGATATTTCGGGGGAAGTCGTTGCTGCGGTTCTGGATTTGAGTAAAAACTTAAGTGTATCCCCTTCTTCTGATTGCGTTGTGACTGCAGATCAAGATCTTGTTGTTCTGCTTGAAGATACGAGGAAATCTCGGCTTCGGAGAGATTCGGGTTCATGCGCAAGAAGGCGCACGTCTGTCGCCACTCGGGACCAAGAGCAGCAAGAAGGACCGTGAGATACATCTCACGAGGGAAGTATCCACCACACTTCTCCAATTGATCTCGTAGTGTGCAGACGCGATTGACGTAATCCATGACATCCTTGTTTGTCATCATCTGCACACTTGTCAGCTACGAAAGAATCTTACTCACTGTTATGGTATCCTTTGCCATGTACACCCCCTTTCAGCTGGCGTGAAGCTTGAATGAAAAGATCGAACGCCGAGCTGCTCCTTTGCCGATAAGTTTCGAACAAGAACCGTAAACGCCCCGAGAGAGGCGTGCAAGAAACTCTGCTGCTCCAGTTGTGTTCCCATAATAGGATACGTGAACTCGCCGATGAAGAACGGCCATAGCCCGGCAGACTGCGCCAGAAGTTCAAACTCGAAGCTCCAGGAGTAAAAATCAACTCCGTTAAAAGGTATACTGGTCTTGATCTGTGTGCTGTTAAGTAAATTTGGTGGTTGAAAAACAATCCCCTGTTGTTGAAGTTGTTGCTGTTGCTGTTGAAGTTGCTGTGGATGTTGCTGCTGTTACTGCTGTTGCTGTTGTTGCTGATGTTGCTGTTGCTGTTGCTGTTGCTGTTGTTGTTGCTGAGCAGGTGATCGCCCGAAGATGTAAAAGGGCTGTTGCTGCTGCGACTGCGGCTGCTGTATAAAAGATGAGAAGGCAAATGAGCCAGTACTTGGAGCTGAAGCTCCACGCATGTAACTTGAGCCGTCAAGGCTCATTCCACTAAATGCTGACGATATTGACTGCGTTGAAAACTGCTGCGCTGTTGCCTGTTGTTGTGCTGTTGTTTGATGTTGTGCTGTTGCCTGTGTTTGATGTTGTTGCGCTGCAGGTGCAGTCGATGAAATCCCTGGAGTACTAACGGAAGGCTGATTTTGCTGATGCATACCGATGTGCGCATAAGCCGGTGGAATCGGTCCAGAGGCTGAGAGACCAGTGGCAGTCGAGGAGACAGGTACTCCAGTAGTTCCGGAACTAGATCCGGTAGATTTTTCTGGTGACGTTCCAGTCATTGTTGACAGTAGTCTTAATTCCAGACAGCTCTCATACCATGTAATAATTTTACAGGTGTTGAGACGAAGTATAGAATCTGCAAACACAAACACTTGGAAAACCTCAAGTGTTAGCCTAGGATCTTTACTGGAATGGTAGACTAGTAAGACAGTGGAAGTCTTAGAACTTGTAGAGTAATGACAAGAATTCACTGAAGAATAATGTGGAACAAGTTAACTAGATAATGAAGACGAGCTACTTTTATATCTAACAGAAGTACCTGTTCGCTAATGTACCTGTTTGACAATATCGCGCTATGCGCCCTAAATGACACTAAAGAGACGCGACTGTTCGCGTGACTGAAACGACTGTCCTCATGATGAGCGCTATTTGTTGACGTCATCCTACAGACTTCTTCTACGGTAGGATTCGACACTATCTACCGATAATTGACTTACACAAATGCTAATTATGAATCATATCACAACAAGGTGTGTGTTCATAGAGGGTACAACTCTAACCCTGTATCTCTGTTGTTCACCCTTGTTTCTGTAAGAAATTGAAAAGTGGTGTAGGAGACTAAGTATAGAATCTGCAGACACAAGTACTTGAGTAGAAAGTAATACTGGAAGTATGTAAGGCTTGCTACAGGGCGTATGACTCGAAAAGTCCCGAACCAGCGATAGGGTTCCACACCTTCCAGTTTGAGCCTACTGGGCCTTCTCGGACCTCGTTTCGACACATCGAGGCTCTTCGATACTTTTCCCGAACCTTCCAATCCTACGTCCAGGATCACCCTAGGTTTCTTATATATCGTATTCCTCCGTATATAACACCCGCCGAAATAGTCACTCCATGGGTGGTTAATGCGGGGTAGAGCTTATGATAGGGTGCATTTAGGAGAGCACCCGATTTTTTTACCTTGAATTTTACGTAACACCCCCCGCCTTTTTGCAACTATGTAATCGATGCAATATTAAGAATTTAAGTACATCATGGAAGATTCTAGCACGGCTGCATTTGTAGGCCTCAAATTCTAGTCAAGAGTTAGCTACTGAAGCTGCATCTAAAGACTACTGCAACGTCTAGAGGGGCTCGAGCCCAGTCAGAAATCAGTCTAATACTCCTCATCCTCTTCGTCGTCCTCGTCGCCAACGTGCCGCGCCTCCACGTCGTCATCATCGGACGCTATGTCGTCCCAGTCATAGTCGTCTGCCCAGTTGGAGGCCGCCAGCCTAGCAAGCACCTCTGCCGCTGGTGCCATCTCGATAGAGTCGTCATCACTGGTCGCAGATGCTTCTGCTGCCGACGTTGCTGCTGTTGCTGCTGCTGTCGCAGCCGTCGCTGTTGCTGCAGTAGCTGCTGCTGCTGCCGTCAGACGCGCCTCTGCCATAGCGGAGGACTCTGCTACCTCGGCCGAGCCGGATGCCATCGATGCAGCTTGCGGCACGTCGTTCTCGTCGTCGTTTTCATCCTTAGACAGCTCGTCTGCGGCGGGCTCGACGAAGTCAGCTCCGTAGAGCGGGTTCTTCTCGCCGCTCTCCTCCATTTCCACGTGCACGTCATCCATCACTTCCACATCTGCCTTGTCCTTCATATGGGTGAGGATGAGTTCATCCTCCGTCCCATTAATGTCGGTGGAGATGCCGCAGGTTTTGACGGCGTTTCGGATGAGCTCGGTAGGGACGGCCTCCCACGCGGCTGCGATCCACTATAGCACCACCTCCGCGGGGGGCTTCTTGAGGTTTCCTGGCAGGGGCACAGAGAGATAAGGCGGTAGAAAAGGCAGTCTTTAAGAGTCGAAAAAACTTTATCGATGAAAAGAGCAAGCGTCCGAATAGACGGGAAGTGTACGACGGAGCACACGTAAGGAAAACAGCGCGGAACGCAGGCACAGAGCCACACTCACCTGTGGGTGTTGTCGAATCACAGCCACACTCTTCAAACCAACCTGTGTAGGACCACCTCACATGCGCCTTCACACAGCGGTTGATAGCCACGTCGAGTGGCTGGACGACCGGCATGCAGCCGCCAGGAATCACGGCCCTGGAGAGCTTGAAGAGGTGCATCGCCGCTGACACGCCCTTGGTCAGGTGCCCTTTGTAGCTGTCGAGGACGACGAGGGCTTTCGCCCGACCGCCACGCCTCGCAGGGATTTGCTGAAGGAGCGGGACGAGCACTGATGTGATCCAGTCCTTCACGTGCTC